TGATCGCGAACGATTAACCGGTAACCGAGCCCCCTTTTTCGTCGATCGGCGATCTAAAAAAGTATCCAGAGATGTCCCGTGACGTGGACAAGTTGTTCCTGCGACCGGTATCTGGGATTCGCGTAAGGTCGCACGAGTTGGCACGTGTCGGCGCGTGTCATCTCGGCTCAAGCGAGCGGAAAATCGCTCTTTGAAGTTCTGAATTCTCTGTTAATCGCGATCTAACGCTCACCTTTCGTTTGGATCTATTTTGCGCCGGAAGTCGAGCAAAGAGAAGGGGGCGGCGGTGGTTGAATACGCGAATCAAAATCTTCTCCCGCGAGAGAAATAAAAGGGAGGTACACCATGGAGAAATGTAGCAGCGGGAGGGCGCCGCTTTAAAGGATGGACGGATTTCGAGAGGGTGTACGGGGGTTGATTGTTTGCCGAGTGGCTATATTGTAAGGCCGTCTGCTATCGAAACGTCGACTCCATTTTTGTTTACTCTTTTTACGACTCTTTGTTTATACATATGGGTGGCGGGGGCGGGGGTGGACTTGCGAGAAGAATCAGTCGTTCAACGATCGGAGGCGTGAAACGTTTTATAATAGATTTGATTCAGAAATTATTTGTTAATTTGATGTAGAATTTTTTCGTAGAAAGTTATTTTGATTTCTAAAATATTTTTTCATCGCAGAAATAATATTCTTTAGTACAGCTGAAAAATATACGACCAGCATCGACGAGAAGAACAATAAATTTCCCTCTGATACGAAACTCTTCCGACGGTTTCAGAATTTCCTCCGCTCGCAAAACAACCAATTAATCTCCGCCCCTTTGAACGTTGGTCAGCGTTTCGGAAAAAAGTTCCATTCGGTTTTTTATCATTTTTATACGCGGCATCGGACGTCTAACTTTCAACGCCATACCGTCCTGAAACGTTCTCTTTGTCGCTCGATAAAAAGGACACGCCATGGAAACAAGAAACGATTTCGATTTGGAACCTTCAGTCCTTGCAGGCTCTTTGAGAAACGCTACTGGTGCAGAAATGGGAGATTTGGGGGATCCTTTCGATCGAGGAGAATACTAAAGCAAGAATTTGAAAAAAATTAGAAGCTTGCAATATTGGGTGTTAGAAATTTGAAAAGTCAATGCTTGCAGAGTTGCATATTTGGGATTAAAATTTATCAATATCCAAAATTCGAGCGTTCAAAATTGAAGTATTCAAATTTCAAACTTAGATTTAAATAATAGAATTCATGGCAAACTATGCATAGAGTCAATTAACCGAACAAATTCATGCGGATTTTAGCTGGGAAACAAAGAACACCGAGATCCAATGAATAATAAAAAGAAAAACTACCATTTAAATATTCATATTTCGTAAGAATACATTCTCCTCCCTTTTTCCTCCGTTCTTTTCGTCGCAGATTTCAAGCGATATTCCAATCTTCCATATCTCAAATTTATTCATCGCAATCTGTTCGTTTCTTAACTATTACCTAACGAAATTTAATCATCTAATTTTCTAATACAATCTTCTACAACAAAAACCAGTGACGGACAAATAATTCCTAATCACAATTAATGATGATGCATTTGAAAATAGCTAAAGTCTGATTCAATTTGATGACAGAAAAGTAACACAAAATGATGCTTATAGCTCATCAATTTAAAGCTTAAAGTTTCCTGAAAATGACTACATAAAGGTTTTATCGATATTCTGAATATAAAATAGCTGGTCCTTCTTTGAAGCCGACAATGTACCAATTTACATCTCGATATTGTTCATTAATTAAAATGAAAATTTTAATCACTGATATCTCAAAGCATTCTGTTCCATTTTTAAAATGAAAGATATCTATTTTCAATCGAGCGATTCGGTTCTTAAGGCACGTGCCCTTGGAACTTGTTTCACCCTTCCTAGATCTTAGCAGCATTCCTCGCGTCGGCCCCGGATAAAATGTAATAACGCGTCCTCTTCAGGCTGGCGCGCACGAATCCATCTTTCGTTAACGAGGGTGGAGGCTCACGATTGCGTCCCAGGAATGCGTGATGACTACTTTGTCAGGAATGCGCCGTGGCGCCCATACGCGAAACGAGAGCGCCACGACGCTGTACCCTGGACGTCCCGGTGGGTGCAGCTGCCCTGTTACCCTACACGACGGATCCAACAAGCTTGATCCTTCTTTTTTTAAATAGAGAAATGGTTATCGAGCAACTTAATTTAATTTCTATTCGTTCGATAACAGAATGTACACCTGTTCTGGAACGATTTTCAGAAATGTTCAGAAATCAAGCAGAGGAAAAAGAAAGCGTATAGATGCAATCTTCATCAAGTCGTATCGTTTGCTAAGTAGTATAATTTATAATCAATGACGGTAATTTAAAATACGAATCACCCTCCCGTGAATTTCCATGCCGCAACCGGGCCCAAGAATCTTTCATACGTATTATGATGCAGAGACACCCCTTTGTTCCGTGACCAAAGGGTGCGCAGTGAACCACGTGCAGAAAATTTGAAAAAAAAAAAAAAAAAGAATTTCACAAAAGAGATCATCCATCTTCAAGCACTATTCAGTAAATTTCAATATATCTGACAAATTCTATTTTCTTCATTAGAACAAATTAAAAGATAAAGAGTTAATTGATTTCCAATAGATAATGCATTAATGAATTTGACTATTCAAAAATAAATCATTGATCTAGATTTATGGATTAGATCAATTTGATCTTACACGAGATAATCTAAAAGATTGTAGCACGTATTCTATACAGACACCCCCTCGAAGCGTGACCAAAGGGTGTTTAGAGGTCCACAAAAAGGGGGGGATACTCTTTTCCCTCCCCCTGTCACGAAACAAGGCTGGAACCGTATCGGCATAATTACACGGATGGCGTTAGTGTCACATATCCTGAACAATACGTCGAACGGGAGCTATGGGATGGGGTGGATGCACCTGCAAGGAACCATATTTCATCCGACGTTCAGGCCGACTTTTGTGCCTTTATACGCCATGAAATCGCGAGGGTCATCGGTTTTCCCTAATTTCTATTATACCGAGATAAAACCCTGTTAGGCATCCACCACTTCAGGGTTCCTCGAATTCCCTTTAACCAGCTAACAATTTTACAAATTTAACTTTCCTTTTGTTATAAAATTCCTTGGAATTAAATTACATTGGAAGTGGAATGGAATAATTTTTCAAAGTTCGATAATTAAAAAATTAAAAAATTAAAAATTGAAGGTTCACCGGGTTTCCTTTAAACCTAGAATGATCTTCATCCCCTAACATTCACCAAGTATTGCCTATCTAGATCGACCCACATAATTTACATGCATACCAGACGTGTCTGGTAAGTCGACCACCTATTAGTATCCAAGGTACCATTGACAAATTATTGGGGTAGTATTTCAACAATTTGAATTTTCTTTCTCACACAAGACTACCATCTAAGGACAAGTCGAAATACAATTTTGCAAATAATAATAATTTTCAAATTTTCCAAATAATAAAAAACAAGTGTTGTTGGGGCTGTGATTTTCCAAAGGGACACGTCTAACAAATTCGGCCTACAAACACACCAGCCCTTAACGTATGCTCGCTGTCGGAGGCGATTCAGGATCGCAGGGCACCGGTTCCCCTCGGATACGCACGTGTTCCATCCGAAAAATACTTTGCATCACCATTACCGCCAACTTGATGCCCCTTTGTAGGGCGGCAGGGGCATTTCGAAGAGAGAGAGTTTCATAGTCAACTAGGCGTATCATTGAGGGGACCCGTGGTCCGTGCACCACGAACAAAGACAAAGAGCACCGTATATAGGCTTTTATTTGACAAACATTGCCGCACAAAGGACGGTATTGTCGCGTATTTACGCGAACTGACAAACGGCCAAATACTCGATGCGCCACGACTTTCCTACGGTAAAATACACCGAGACATCTTCCTGCCGTCTACGCGATATTGCCTTCGAGACGGCATCCATTTTACTGGCAAGACCTTTTCTACTTCTCTATGCTCGTACGTGTTTCCTTTCTATGGAATTCTTTTGTCTAAAAGGTGTTCAACTTCCCTCCTCCTCTTTCCTTTGCATCTCTGTCCCCATGGAATTTGTCATATTTTTTTTTTAAAAAGGTGTTATATGAAATTTGTTTCTTTCTGGAGATTTTTTGGTTTCTTTAAATATAATTCTTTAAGGTTGCCAGGCATAATAGAAATGACAGTGTATGGTAAGAGATTGTAATAAAAGTGGCACAGTAAGAAAGACTACGTTCTAATTAAAATTACTAATGATTTTTCATTTGTTACTTTGTATTATAATAGCTGATTGTCATTGCGAATGAAAAAAATTCAATTTTCCTATCGATCACCAGATTTCATATAGATTTTCAAGCACTTCATAGGGGTTTTAAGAGACAAAGAAACCCTCGACTTTCAGTTTGCCAAATATGATTTCTGCGCGGACAATGGCCCAGCAAACATCGATGCACTCAATATGCCAATATGCCAATTCGTAGCCTCGATTAGCTTCGTATTCTAATTCAAATAAACTGTTAAGCAGTTTTCAAAAATACGCAAAATTCGCGTGAAGAATAAATATCTTACGTGTTGCCATTTTTTTTTCAAATTACTTAGTCAAATTTCACTAATCCTCATTTCTGGTGTCTAAAAATCTTTGAAACGAAAGAAAAAAAGAACCGAGGCAACCCAAGTGTCCGTATCGGTATACGTCACTGGTTATGGTCGCTAGATTATTGATCTCCCGAAAACACGAGCACAACCAGTTGAGCACCGCGACAACTTCTCATCCCCTCCATCCCCCGTTATAAAGGAAGGGCGGTACCCAGGTCGACCAATGGCTCGCCTCGAACAGTTTCCCTCGCGAACCTCCGACACTCCGCCTCCGGTTTCTCACCCTCGTCGATCCGTCTCGAACGGGAGGGGTTGTACACGATGATAGCGAGCGAGTAGGGGGATGATTTTCACTGTCGATGCTGTGGCTGGCGTCAAAAAAGCCTGAGAGTCCGGGCCGTTGACACGTATCGGTTATCGTCAGGATACTAATAGCCATCCTGTGTCCAAGATCGTCCCTTATCTCGAAGAAAACGGGCAGAAAGAATCGGAATGATGAATATTAACGAAGAATTAACGGTTGGTCAAGTTTGGACGTCCGTCAGGATGGCCAATGGGGTACACAGGATCTTCTCTTGAGGCCTATCACCACGTCGGAGGACTGGAGAGGGTTGACGATTGTTTTCAGAGCATCACCTGGTCCATAGCGATAAGGACGCTTAAAGTGATCTTTGTGGACATAGCGGATTGTTGTTTCGACTGTTTTCGTGTGACTCGACGTGGACAAGAAAGGTTGATTTGTGATCAGTTCTATCACATTTTTTTTTCTGAAGACTATTCGAGGAAGTGAAATTGTGCCGAGTGAATTCGGGAAGATACGAGGAACCATGTTGGAATTCTACCCTCCGCTACCAGGTACCCTTGGTCGCCAGGGTGAGTCGGGACCACCGACGATGGCCTCGGCTGCACCACCGATGCCATTTCGGCCTGCCAATGACAATAACAATGCAGGTAATCTTCGGGAAATTTTTCACTCTGGTATCATTTCAATCAATATTTAAAAAATGCTGATTAAACATTAGAAATTGTCACTTCGAAAGTCTCCTAATGATAGGTAAACTTAGGGGGTGGATATCTTGAAGAAACGAAAATCGAAGCTGTTGTTTCAATAATTGTATAATGATTCTTAATTGAAATTAAATTTGGAAAATAAACAAATGTACCTATTGCAAGTGGTTCATAATTGAAACAAAAGGAATTCTATAAATCCGGTGTCTATATAAATAGAAACTTATTGCATTGCGTTCTATCGCGGTGTAGCTTTATCACTATCGACAATCGATAAGCGACGGAATAAATTTCATGGGTCTCGCAATATTGCTTCGCACCAGAACACCTATCACATTTCTCAGTCTGACAACCATATCATTCGAAATAACTCCGTGCACATTTATTTCTTTCACTTTAGAAGAGGGTAGTTTTAAAATTTCTATAATCAACCAGGACTATCCTCAAAATGATTAACTTTCAAATGAAAATTAATACAAAATATATGAAATTGAAATTACCCTATCGCACCGACCATCAGGGGATAAAAATTGACCTCTGGTCAATTAGAAAATTCCAAATTAATCTGGTCCATTTAAAAGCACGGTAGGAGGCTAATTTTCGCCCATCAATTGTTGATTCTAGAGCCGTCGGTTTCGGTAAAGACAGAATCCGGTCTCCTGGAGACGATCTGTGCCGGTTGCGGCCGCACCATATCCGACAAATACGTGATGCAGGTCGCCGGAAGGAACTACCACGAAGAGTGTCTATCCTGCGCTGCATGCGCCGCTCCTCTCACACATTCCTGCTTCATTCGCGAGTTGAAACTCTACTGCAGGAACGATTACGAGAGGATCTTCGGTGTTAAGTGCGCGCGGTGCATGGAGAAGATCAGTTGTTCGGATTTCGTGCTCAGAGCGCCGGGTTTGGTTTTCCATGTGGAGTGTTTCGCGTGTTGCATGTGCGGACAACCGTTACCACCTGGTGCACAATACTTCCTGCGACAGGGACAACCGATCTGCAGAAGGGACTATGAAAACGAGTTGTACCTGAACAGTCCTCAAGGTTGGTGAAAATTTAAACACAGGATAATATAGGATGATTGTCAAAGCTTAGATAGATCCCTCAACCTCTTCACCCTCCTAAGGGTGAGCGTAATCAAAGGATTACTGGTTTTAGGAAATTTACATATAAGAAAATACACCTGGTTGCAAATAAAATTTGATGAAAAAGGTTACTTCGCTTACGTTTATACATTAAATTAGAAATTTAATATACAAACGTACAGGAAAACTTTGACAGCAAACTGCTCTCGACTATCACGATTTACTTGATCATTCGATGGAACCGAGATTGGCGATCTGTTCGGTATAAAAGGATTAACGAAATATTGTCAAATCTACTGAATGGGATTTAACAAAGTTTCGTTCGTACCGGTGTTATCAAACGAATCGACGCAGCTGCGAGAATCGTATTTGTACATACCTTGTTGCATTGTTCGCAGGTTGTACTGCTACAATCTAAAGACATCCAATGTAAAAACCTGCAGGAATTTCGAATCGAGGCTGTCTCTTTTCAAGGTAATTAAACTTAAGCCAAGCGTAATTAGAAATTCGAACGAAATTCTTTGAATGAATTCGAGAGATGGACAAGGATACGCCAATCTATGTATTGGAATTAACAATCGATCTTCTTCTATCATTAATTTAGTCGTTTCAATATTTACCGGCGGAGAGGGTGAAAGAGCAGTTTGTTAGTCATAGTTTTTAAATGAAACATATTTTGCAATATTTTCAATGTAATTTCGTTCAAGTTTGAAATAATATTAAATGAAAATTCACTGAATCATCGAAAAATTCCTGAAACTATGAAAAAAATGTCAAAGAATCAAGACGAGGGAGGAGTTCAAAAATGATTAGAAACGAATGGATATCTCTAGAATTTCGCTGAAACATTAATTGAACGTACAATTTTTCAGACGATGATTTGTTGGACGAGAACCGACCTAGAGACGGTCGTCGGGGTCCCAAGAGACCCCGGACGATCCTCACGTCGGCTCAGAGGCGTCAGTTCAAGGCGTCCTTCGAAGTGTCCCCGAAACCCTGTCGAAAGGTACGAGAAGCCCTGGCAAAGGACACGGGTCTCAGTGTTCGCGTGGTGCAAGTTTGGTTCCAAAATCAACGAGCGAAGATGAAGAAACTACAAAGGAAAGCGAAGACTGAGCCTGGATCGGACAAGGAACCGAAGGAAGAACGTCGGACGGAAAGTCCTCACAGTGATCACAGTAAGTTTCATTTATATTAAACTATCTAAAGTATTAATTATCTATGTCTGTCGTTTATACTTGAACGAGTGTGAAAAAGGGGTTGCATTGTATTTGAATTGAAACGAAAGTTGTCGCGAAGACTGGTTAATGGGGCTTGGAGTGTAACTTAGCTTGGTACAAAATGCCAATTGTCTGATCTCGTTCGCAGGTCATTACTTGAACGCCATGAACATGCGCGACGGGGAATCTTCTAGCTTCCCCTCAGCCACCCAACCGCTCAACCCCAATAACCCGTACTCGCCCGACGGTAAGTCTTCTTTTATAGCGTAAACATTAATTAACCCTTTGCGCACGAATCTCTGATGAATTTCATGGAATTTGGGAGAGATGTATGACTGGACATTTGCATCTTCCACGTCTCGAATTATAATTTCAATCAAAATGCATTGGTTCTATCATTTTTAAATTGGTATTCTGTATTTTTTTTTTTTTCAGACGCATATCCGGGTCATTCAGGGGAGAGTTTCTGCAGCAGCGATTTGTCCTTGGACGGTACGGAAGCTGGCTTCGACATAGGCGAGAACGAGGGTGGCGGTGGTCAAGAGGGTAGCCATCAGGGTGCCACCCACACCCATCACGGTCCTTCCTCCCACGAGGCGCCGTCACTGTCGCAAAGTTTGCACGCGGCGATTCACAACCCCATCGACAAACTGTTCATGATGCAGAGTAGTTACTTCAGTGGTGACCATGCGTAATCCGCGAGATATATCATTCTCCATGGTGTTCTCGATCGGTTCTCCAAAGGAGCTAGCTGACCCATGACATCAGTCGTCGCGTGTGAAATATAAGGGGAACATCGTACAGCGTCGTTTTTCCATTTTTTAATTTATACTTTTTACATTTTTTTATTTCGATATTTTTGGTTTATTTCCTTTCCTCGATTTGGTCAAAGTTTAATCATTTTTATTCGATTATTGATCTTCTCCTTCGTTAAGTTTCTTCGTGGAAGTTGTTTTACGTTTATCGAATTTTGTTGCTTCTTTATCGTTGACACGTGTTTTTCTTTTTATTTAATTTATTTAATACTCAGGGTAAAATGCTGTACGACAGATTGCCGCTGGTATCGCAGCAGATGATCGTTCTCAGTGCTAATTATTTAATTTAAGATGGTTTTCGAGGTACCAAGAGAGTGGCGAGGACAATGAGATGGTAAACGAGTAATCGCGTTTCGATTTAATATTAAACGAATGTATCCCTCGGTTTTCGCCTATAAAAATGCATATATTTAAACGTCGACGTACCTTATTTCTATCCCGAGAGATTGTTGTTAAACAAAACGTGACTCGTCGATTCCAAATCCTGGCTATGATCATAGCCAAAGAATGATTTACAAGAATAATAAGCGAGCTGTTAGGTTCGACGAAGCACTAACTAGGAATAATTAGTGAAAAAATTACAATACATTGTATAAAAAAGAAACGACACCTTAGAATCATTGCTTAACACCCTCTCCTCATCCTTTCTTCCAATCTAGTAGTAGATATAATTGAAAGTAGCATTTTACAATATTTTGTATAAACAAAGTTGGTAGTTAATTATTCGTTTAGGAGCAATAATAAATGTCTGATTAATCTTCATCGAGAATCGACAAATTTTTGTAAAGTAGAGGCGAGGAGAAAAGGATATTTCTAATGATGAAAGGAGAAAACCTCGAAATAAGTCAGACGGCAAGCGGTACAAGTAGAAAGACTCGAAATAAGTCAGACGGCCCAGGTAAGAATAGAGGGTTTATTATTATCAGAAATACACTGACCAAAAAAAGAACAAAAAATTTTCAACTTTAAAATATACACAGAAAATGCAGATCTATTACGAAAATCTTTAGAAATCTACCAAACTTGACGATCGTTTATCGATAATTCAATTTTTCCTTGGATTATCCAACAATGAGGCATAAAATAGAAACGAATAAACATCCTAAATAATTGTGCGATCGTCATAGCACCGTTGAATAATTGGAAAAAGAAAATAGATAAAAGAAAAGAGGAAAAATCCTTTTCATCGGATCGAATCGATCGACGATTCGTACGATATTTATCATCGTGATCGAGTTGCCGGCAGTGACGGTACAGAAGTAGCGATTTACATTTATTTATTTTATTTTCACGGTGTCAACTTTCAACTTCGACCTGTTCTACTTGGTTCGCAGCTGCGAATCGTTGTACTCGAGCATGTCGAATAAAAAATAAGGCATAACGATGGACTACGCTTTTTATCTCTTATTGTTGAAATCATTCAAATCTTTCACCCTTTATCAACACTTAGCCAACCGAATGGAGAGATCTCCCCCACTCGTTCAACGATGATCAACAATTCGATAGAAATGCAACTTTTTATTCCTGTACAAAGTCTTCGATCACAAGTTTCTTTGTATACTGTCTAGTGCTGGGCATTGTTTATAAAAAAAAAAAAAGAAAGTTACGCGGTGTTTAATTTCAGGTTGATGATCAGACGAAAGTTAGTCACGTTGATGGAAATCGAATAGCAAAATATTTGTCGAAACTTAAATCACTAATTCGTGACACTAACTGTTAGAGTGTTAATTGCTGAAACTATCTATCTATCGTGTTAATTTTCCCTTTCGAATAGGAAAATTTCAATTTCACCTTTTAAGAGTTATCTAATGTTATTTTTATAAATTGTCTATTTAGCTCTATTCGCTTAAAATACTTTCAGATAAAAAGAGGCAGTCAGAGAAGATTTCTCTGCCGAATTACTCTTTGGCAGTGCGACTAACGAGCAATTAGAAATTGGTATAGGCATCGTCTTTATATGTCATTCTAATTAACACCTTTAAGTAGCGTAATATGCAGTCTAATTTGATGTTTCGAATCCCTAATTCAAAAGGGAAATATTTCCTTATGTTTATTATATAGTTTCATAGAAATCTTATGTTTTTTATGCAGATTGTTGAATTGTAAGTCATGTTTAAAAATCATTGAAGAAATAAGCAGTAATAAAACAGTTCTTATGTACAAAAGGCCACTATACTGGACGATGTACGGTCGTGTGCAATTTAGGCTCTTCCTAGAATTTTCTAGGGTGCCATTCTCTACCTTTTTCCCTTAAGCAAGAGAAACCTACATTGCACCCGTATAGATAGTCAACCTTAAGGTTCAAAAATCTTATTAAAATTAAAACCTGTTAATTAATTATTCTCCATCGCTTATTCGAATAACTTTGCAAAAAAATGCATTATTTTAACATACTTAATCCCATCATACCAATATACATGAAAATTTGTCAAACAACTGTATTAGATTGTCCAGAAAATCTTGGCTCTTATTTTTGAGAAAGCAGTAGAAAGTTCTATGATGAAGATCGATGATGAAGATTTTCTGAACAACTTAATATTACACCACCACCAACAAGCACATGCAAAATACAAATTACTTGATTTCCACCAGTGATTCTTTCAATCATCCGACATCCGTTTCATGCTTATTTTGCCCAACACCACACGACTCCTGGTCGTAGTTAAACATCTAAAAACTTTGTTTAAGGTGTGCTGGTCTGCTCGCAATTTTCTAAAAGACCCTGTGCACCCTGCGTTGTACTGTCTACCTAACAAGAAAAGCTCCCGAGGTGGTATCCTCAGATTTTACATTTTAAATCTAACAATTTCATTATTATATTAGTAGCAATATTAAGTGTGAAACAACGAATTCGGATCTTTATTTATTCAAAATAATTTGAAAGTTTCTTCTGGAGTTTGACTTCTGGTATTCGAATAGGAGGGTATCATTTCAGGAGCTTTCCTTGTAAATCACCGGTGTTTAAGCTAAACTGAGACGAGAAGCTACATAACATTTCCCTCCACCTCTTACTCGCCTCTCTCTCTTCGTCTGCTTTCCTTCAATTGTTCCTGCCTGATCTTACACAAGTTTCACTTGAAGGAGTTAACGATGTCGACGATGCTGACGTAGGTGCCTATCACCAGACCCAGGAGACCAAACACGATCAGACAAATGTTTTTCAACAACATAATCATGCACGGGCCGAATTCTCTGTCTGGCCAGAGGACGCAGATCTCGATGATTGCTGGGAAAGCGATGCCAAGGGCGGAGAGACAGAGAGCCCCGAAGAGGGAGATGAAGAGACCCAACCTGGGTACAGCTATGGCCAAGGTGACTAAAAAAGTATTGAAATTCTCTGTAACGTATTTCATTGCCATTGCTAATTAATATACTCACACGTCGCTAAAGTGATAACTGTCCGGCACACGTATTCCCAAAATAATTTTCGTTTCTGTACTTTCTGATCCAAGTAAGTGTTCCAAATGATATCGACAGGAACGTATCCTTGAAGAGCGTGGGTGATAAAAATTGCGATAGCAAACATGATCTTGATGCTCTGTGCCATCCTGGAATAATTGAATTCCCTGGTATACCAAGAGAAACGTGTACAATTGAACATCACTTACACTTCATCCGCGGGTAAATTGAAAGTAACACTGCCGCCAGCCTTGTCCCCGTACTTTATGTAACCGAAGAACCCCATAAGAATATACAGAGCCACGATGACCGTCATTCCTATGTTCAGGACACCGCAGTATCCACCGAAATACTGCGGGGTCTTCATATTGTTCTCCAGCGCGATGATCTACGAATGAAAATAAAAATCAATGTAATCAGGTTGTAATTAATTTTGCACAAACAAAGCGTGCGAAAATAATAACTGAGAATCACTGGGATATTCTCGACAGGATGAGAACGTCTGAGGAATAATAGGATGGATTGCATTGAAGCACTGATCACGGCAATCTCAAAGTTGTTCTGTAAGTGGCCATTTATTTGTTTATTAACTGATGCGCCGGCGTCGTTGATCTATTCTAAGCGCGCAGGCCATTCGTTTCGCTAACAGTCACGGGAAATGATCGACGAGGACAAATGATTGATCGATCGGGGCTAAGGGTAAAATTGAAAAACCAAAGTGATCTTATATTATACTAAATTGTTTGATAGAGGGAAAATTTTCTATTTTTATTTCGTCACTTTCGAGGAAGCGGAATTAGGAACGTTCGAGTATCGCCGACTTTCTGGATGGATATTTGGTGTCTATTGGGAAGCATAGTGCGAGGAACGAAAATCCTCTATTTTTAATGAAACTTTTTCAACTCACCACCCCGACAGCCTCCAAAGCGAACAACGTCGTGCCGAAATAAAGCGAGAAATTTCTCAGTGTACCGAACATCTCTCTCTCACTAACCGGCGGTAAATCCTTAAACATGTAAACCAGGATCATAGCCAATCCAACGAACGTGATTATGTTCGCGAGGGTGGAGAACGGCGCCAGTAACTTCAGATTCCTAACGTAATTGATCAAAATCAGCGGTAGCAATAAAATGAGCATGTGGGTTTTAACATCCAAAGGTTCCCAGTACTGGTCTGCCACCTGTGTTCACCAACAGAACAGAGATAATGATATCAATGAGTTCGATCGAATCATTCCGATCGTTGAATTTGTAGTTTTTTTTTTTTTTATTTCTCTTTCACTTCTTTCTTTATTTTTCTTTCTTTCGTTCGTTCATTCGTTCGCTCGCTAGAAGAAAATTTATCCGCTTTTTGGCGACGGCATTGATATTTTTTTTTTTTCATCATTTCTGCTTCTGCTATTTACCTGCTTGATATTCGACGCTACAAATACGATATAAACGCAGCATATTCCCAATTGATACGCTATCATGAACCCGTCTACGAGTCCTCTGCAAATATAACAGCAACTTTCATGTTACAATTGAATGGCCTTTAGCCGCTTTTATTTTGTGGGGGATGATCGTGCGTGCTTTGTGTGCGTGAATTTATGAACGAAATAAGGGGGGGAGAGAAGAAAATTTTGCATGGTAGATTTTAGTTTCTGAACAATGAAAGCTTCTTTGAGGTAATAATGAAAGATTACTTTGGGGTTTTTGAAAAATTCTATACGTGCGTATAAAACACTTTTAGCTTTTAAAAATAAGTGGTTTTGGAACAAGTTTCATTCATAATTAGTTATAAATTATAACTTTCGCAAGGTATTATCAGGCGGCTCAAGTAGATACGGTCGGCGATGATTAGACACCAATTTATTCATCATCGAATTTTTAAAAAATAAAGAGAACTTTCACCGAAAATTACCTATTTCATTTGCAATAACCTGATACAACCTAATTCAACCTAATAAAATATTTAAGCATGGACAGTTTAACACATTAGCTACCACAGTGGAAATACACATATATGGTCAGACTAATTATTCAAGACGTTCATCAACGATCCCTGTGGTAATCAACGTGTTAATAATGACTAAGAAAAATGATATCAATGAACTGATAAGGAATGATCCCGAATCCGGAGATTCCGAAAATTTTTCTTCCTTAAAAATCTTCTTTTCTTTTCCTCCGAAGTTACATAATTTTTTGAATTTCCGAGTTCGAAATCATCTCTCGCGAGAGACACATGATCATGATCGTGTAGATATGGATGTGTGGCCGGCGTGTAGGTGCACGATCAATCATACTTACGGTGCATAAGGTGCGAACCATTTGACACACACAGGACCTTCCTCGAGAGCGTACTTCATACTCAATGGATAACTCAATATAGGAACTCTTAACCGTTTACACAGTCTGTACTGAGCTTTCACTAGTACGTGCAAACAATAAGTGCATAACACTCCAATGATCACTGTGGCTATCACACCGGTAACAAGTCCACTGTTGCAGAATGCGTTCGGCATCGCTAAAATCCCTGTTCCAAGACTTCCTTTCAGTAAATGTATAAGCGTCTCCGCATTTCTATAGAGAAGAAAAATGTACTAAAATTATTTCGATTAATAATACTTGAATTATTATTCTTGAATTATCCAGGGTGAAACGGTAATAATTGAAAATATAATCGCCAATTTTAATGATAAAAATGAAATACTCACGAAGTTGGATTTGGCCTATTTCGATGTTTATGGGGATCGTAGTCTTCTACGTTTGCGGTTGGCGATGTTGGCACTTCCGATGGATTTAGACCACTTCCGGCGATTTCATTATTAACTCTGTAACCGCATCAATTTGCAAATTCAATCGTCGTACGGTTAATTCTTTTTTGTTTGTCGAGTTTCACGAATTATCGTCAATTATCGAAAGATACAATCGCGAGCAAACAGAGTTAGTTCTCGAATGGTACGTTTCAATTTCAACATCATTGAACTTTGAACCGCTATTTTTTTCATAGAGAATGTCTGTTAAGTAGAATAAGACGTACTTGTACGGACTCTCGGAACCGATCAGCTGCATGTTTATCGTCTCCTCCTTCGCGTTCTCCATGGTTATTGGTCGCTCAATTTTCTCCTGTTACTTCTGTGTTTCAAAAAGAACCAAAACAATGTTTTTCATCCTTTATAGACTTATATAATTAAAGTGGAAATATGAAAGAGTGAAAAAATAATTATTACATTAAATTTCCTGATAATTATAAGGGGTTGAAACGATCCCTTTCAAAAATTCTATCTATGGGTCTAATTTAAGTTTGGGAATATTTTTAAATCTCAGGGCCGATCCTGAAGATTACTCGAGACGTGTGCTTATCAAGGATCAATTTTCTCCTGTTACTTCTGTGTTTCAAAAAGAACCAAAACAATATTTTTCATCCTTTATAGACTTATATAATTAAAGTGGAAATATGAAAGAGTGAAAAAATAATTAATACATTAATTTTCCTGATAATTATAAGGGGTTGAAACGACCCCTTTCAAAAATTCTATCTATGGGTCTAATTTAAGTTTGGGAATATTTTTAAATCTCAGGGCCGATCCTGAAGATTACTCGAGACGTGTGCTTATCAAGGATCAGAGATACGACCTAGATCCACGGTAGTGGCCGAAGTTCCTAATCAATTGGCGGATATGGAACAACAGGATAGGATAAAAATGGCAATTCATCATTGCGAATCGGTTGCGAGATTCGACGCGTCTAGCTTTAGCACATTCTTTCGCGAACTGATTGCTCTTAATTATTGCATTGAGGTCAAATGTAGTTAACTTACTGAAGGTTATATATACAGCAAGTGCATTCTCACTTCGTCGTTTCTGAACGTTCAATTGATCGGATTCGAGCTGTCTCCAGACATCTTCGGTGGAAGAACGAAACTTCGTATGTTTCATTTGTTTCATTAAAAATTTGCATCGATATATGGAGTTTGGAAACGGTTGCAAATTTTTTCTTCAACTGAATCAAACTTGCGAGGACTGAGAAATGTAGAAATTTTTCAGAAATAAGGAAATCATTATCTAGTTAGCGTACGAAGCACAGGGTAAAGTCACGCGATTTCCTTTTTGATTGAGTAATGATCGTGATCGCACGATTCTTGGGACGAACACGAACGAGCAACCGGTGCTGGACGTGTGTATACGTTAATATTAAAAACGAATCGTGAAGATTAGAATAAAAAATTTGAAATTTGTCATTGTTGTATCCGAAAGCAACAGGGTTGAATCACCCGGTAAATCTTTCAAGTTGTTGACCGAACCCTTGACACAGCCTCGACTGGCGTGACAATTGAAATTTGGCAGTCATTTATCTGTGTCAATGGTACTTCTTATCGCGTACAAAGCCGCATCTGACCCGACGTAACAGCGACGACACGGCCGGCTGTTAAACAATTTTATTTGGTCATTGACATTGTGGGCTCCCTATTAATACGAGCCTCGAGGAAGAATCGTTCGTGGTGAAAGAAATCGTTTGACCCAACGAACGCATCGATGAAACGATAATAAATAACTCTGATGATTTGTTAGAAAATTATTTCAGAGAATCTAACGATAAGAAATAAAAATTTTTTAATATCGTTTATCGATGCGAATTGCAAAGTAACTCGACTCCGACATGCAAAACCGTAGTCAGGATGAAACAATTAGGTTAAAATCGTAGCAAACGATTAAGTTACGCAATCAGAAACCGGACGATGGCTGTTTGTGGAACGTTTAACAAGTTCAAGCTCGTCAACCTTACTCTTGCACGTGAATCCTCTGTTTCCTCTAGCGGTGATTAAATTAATCGAACGAGCACGAAAATAAGCCATCCAAATGATTTACGTTTGTCATATATACTCGTTATTTAATTGCCCCTTGATCAAAGTGCACGGTTCCTTAAATGAAAAATTCAAATTTAATTATTACCTATTGTGCTGAAAATAGAATTGTTTCTGACCGGCGCGTTTGGTACAATTTTTTTGTTTTTGATACTCTTCGACTTTTCCTGTAAAGAAAAATTGTCGAATTTTAGAAAAACTGGAATTTTAATTAAGAGAAGCTCAATTTAAAAGTTGAAAATTTTTATGAAAAATAATTCAAGGATTGAAGTGGTAGTTGATCTCATACTTCAAGAAAATAATTAAAAGATATTCTGCTCGAATGAACTTGTAGGACAGTAACCCAATGCTCGGCAGTTTAATATTTCCCAAATTCTAATACACAACCCACTTACCAGCTACTAAAATAATGCATTGCTCGAAATAAATACCGAATCACGTGGTAAAACCACCTCGACCTCTACTAACGATAAAAACACCAGCGTCGCTTTTCATAACCGTGGAATTTAGTTCATTCTCAAGAATCACGCTAATTACATCTGATAGTGTATTTTGGCAACGGTAAACGAAGGCCTGAAAATCAAGTTACGCTCTAGAAGCTGGCACACTGTAATTCAACACCGGCCATCCTTCACTTTCAATGTTCATTCATTCTCGAAAAGGTACAGAGAAAAATGTCACTATTGGGTCATGATTGACCCGGCATCTGCCGTAACAATGACTATCCGTTGTCCGAGGGTTAATAGGTTAACGCGTTGACCGCCACAGTAAAACCAGACGTATCTAGTATTACAAACAGCGATATGGATTATTAATCATCCTATTTGGTCTCTGTGACCCAACTGTAATTTTTGTTTTCTTTTCCTTGCATTTTCCTCGAATTTTGATAGACTTTATTTTTTAATTTATTTAATATGATTCAGTTGGTAATTCCAATGATGGCGAACGATTTGTTAAAAATGAATCAAAGATGGGGCAATGACGTCAACTGAAACACTTGAAACAATTCCATCGCGCGGAACGCAGGGTTACTTGGCTTAAGTATAGTAATCGATCTCCTAATTCTTACTTCCTCAGGTCGCATTAGGGGAACACGTCAACGGGCTCGTCAACGCTCAGGCCCCGAAACAATATCACCGGAATATATTTACGACTCCGCTAATTTTAGAAAACGAAATTGTTTTCCCACCTGATGAAAGAACCTAAGAGAACGCGCGGTTTAACTTGAATTATGACTAGTTATTCATCTGCCTTGTATCGTTCGAAAATCGTTAAAAGATAAATGGAAAACGAAGAACTCCTGAACTATGCGTACAGATCAGTAGATTGGAGGATTTATAGTTAACATATTCGCATCGGGCTATTTTTTTTTTTCACAAACTTTTCATATAAATTAGGGTGAAAAACGAGAATTCTGTATAGCGTGTCCCTATATTTTATATATAAATTATTAAAATAGAACATTGCAAGCTGTGCTATAGCTATAGCTTCAAGTCTATAATCTTCTATATAGAAATGATTAAATTAGCTTGCACAGGAAATTCCAAGGTCCATTATCCCTATAATATTTGATATAGAAATTAGTAAATTAGATCCCTCTATTTCTAAATCAAAGGGTACCACGATGAAGAAATTACAAACAACACGACAAATGTAGTAAATGATTCTTCCAGACTCACCAGATTAAGCACATCCGCAACGAGGGAAATGTAAAATCAGTCGAGCGAGCAGAAAGAACGCTGTCTATCCAACAGGGAACTTCCTAACGGTAATGCAACCACGACAGAGGATGTCTAACGACTGGGCTGTGCTAAACCACGGAACATTTCAATTTCCAACGAGACACCCGTTCGCGGACTACTCGTCACGTGATGCAAGTTAGAAACTGCACTTACGGGGCACATCGGATGATTTAAAAGCGCCTGGTGAAACGTACTAGCCAACAGTTCCACGCCGACTATGGTAGAAGACGAGCCATCGTCTTAGGCGCTTTACAGATTCATCCAATTGGACTGTGTTTATGGGAAATTTTTGAACGGAGGTATGGATGATTGAGATGCCACTGATTTTCGTGAAAATTTCATTTTTCATTGGATGAAATTCGAGGGGGAAGAGGAGATCCTTTGATATACCGGTATGTGACACTGTTTCATTTTTGTGGAATTAATCGGTAAGGATTTCTCCTTTTGATAATAAAAGAAGAGTAAATGTACCGATTTGGCGATGGTAGCGTTATAAATACACATTTACGTCAACTTTCGAATAGAGCATATCGATTGACCCACAAATGGAATCGCAACCATGCTAACACAGTATGGACAGAAGTAAGAGGTCGTGTTCCCTTAAATCATCCCTCTTTACTACTTAAAATCTTAATCCTTCTAATCAAATGCATTATAATATCTCCAATGATCCACAGATAATTTAATCTTATTTGAAAAAAGAATAAAAATTTAATCGTGTCACAGATTAAAGAGAAAGGCTTTCTCCATTCTCCTGTCATGATTTCAATCTTTCAAGAATACTTATTTGTATTTACAGAGAATGTAGCGATCACGGAATGAATTGATCAAGTGGTACATCGATCATCTTTAGGAAATTATATATAATTTTTAGATTCTTAATTAAGAAATTGATAAGTGACGTTGCATATGACAAAGTTCAAAGTGCAATGTACATTTGATATCGTGATACTCGTTTCAACAATTACCATGATAAAGGAAAAAAAAAATGAGAATTTTTTGCGTTGATCTTTATCAATGAATGATTGTTACACGTCAATGTTATGCCTAAGAGATTGTCATCATGGTGTTCCCTGTACAAATAAGTAGACAATGAACGAGTTTAAAAGGGAGTATATCGATCCATATGTACACAGTTATGAAGGGATATTACGCGATGCTTTAAGATTCTTTCCGGATTATTAATCATTCTTTCAAACGTAATTCAATTTATAAAGGATAATAGGATTTTTCTTTGATCACACTGATCACCACAAGAAATAAAATAAAAAAGAAAATGTTCACTGGTACCTTTCGATAACACCACTCCTATATAACCAACATCCTCTCCACTTTATTCTATCATTCTTCGGTAACACTCACTCTGCAATTACACCAACAAACAAAGTAAAATAAAATGAATAAAGCATTCTTATGTCATTAGAAAAAAACACCCAATACCTTTCAACAGCATGCACCTTAAAGTACACCACCTCCATACAGCAAAGAACCTGGTCTGTAGGTCACTGTTACATAATCACCCTCCAGTCAGCTCTCATAGAAACAAGCACATGATCTTCATAAAAACTGTGTCAAAAAATCAATCTCCAATTACACAAATCCTTTAGCCTTTAAATTCACCATTTTCCTTCAATTATACCAAAAAAAAAAAAAAAAAAAAAAATTGCTACTATGCTTTCTTCTTCCCTATAGTTGGTACAGCTTCAACTTACGTTCACTGATTTTGTTAAAGAAAAGTCGTTCAGGGTGCTTGGTAATCCAGGGAGGAACACGAGGACGCGTGTGCTGATCGCACACACAAGGACGGATCTTTCTTCGACATGGGGTCGCGTGCACACGTGCAACGAGAACTCGTGCAACTGGCTGCACCGAGGGTTGCCTCGAGGTTTGCGGGGGCAGCCACCCCGGCAACGATCCATACGCCTGTCGCTGGAACGACATCTCATGGCGTCTGCGTCGAACTCCATCGTGAACTTTCACCTCCGTCCTGCTGCTATACTTCACCCTATTTCAACCAGGTTCGATGAAACTACCAGGAGGTGTAACTGGGTCATTCAGTTGCCTGTACTGATTATGGTAACATGCAGTATCATTCGTTTTTTATTCTGTTATTTGTTAATGACAGCTTAAGGGATTTATGATGGAATAATTTATTTCATATCATCTAGGAATGTTGAAGTCAAGAATGAACGAAGAATGTTTACCAGGATTTAATGATACTTTGTTCATTCTTATTTTCCTTGTCAATGAAGCGTTGATGTGCTGATGAAGAGGGTTGAACAAAGCAGGAAACGATGAGCAGGCAGGAATATTATCCTATAAAATAAAACCGTATTCTTAGTTTCTATAAATAGATTTATTCGTGAATTCTCTAAACCAATTATATTTAAATATCACGCGGGGTCTTCCAATGAAATATTTTCTCGTCTGTGACAATTAAAAAATAGAAACACGGCCGTAAAACAAAGGATAAAAATAGATTCCGTGTCAGAAGGAACAAACGAAAAACAACAAAACATAGATCGTGATATGATTTACAACGAAACACGATCCTTGAGCCATTCATCCAACCGTGGACGTGCTAAACAATAAGTCGTCCTTTTCCTTCCTATTTCTCATCCGATACTTTTCTTTCGCTCAACAAACTCGATCAATGCGTATTTATAAAATACATCCCCGGCAAACAAGAAGATCATCTCATCCGATACCAGACTCAGTTCAATCTTTTCAAAGAACCGATTGTATTTGCTATCTATATCACATTATCTCATGGTATTGCTCACAGAGAGCAACCACTCTTCTTTTCTCTTCTCCTTCAAAACTCTTCTTGTCACCTATCTTCGTGTTCTCCTCTTTTAACATTTCGTTTTGAACGATTCAAGAGAAGTCGCCTACGATGTCCCGGAGACTCGTGTACGTTCCAACCACGAGGCCGAGCAATCCGAACAGGATCAAGGACATGTTCTTGGCTAACATCAAGGTCCTCTCTGTACCATCGCACACGTTCCAGAACGTGCAGGTTTGAATGACGGCGGGGAAAATCAAGCCCAGGCCGGATAAACACAGAGCACCGAACAGAGATATGAAGGATTCCAATTTTGGAACGACTACAGCTAACAGGACTGAAAGATATGCAAAAGAATATATTAGATTAGATTCGTATTAAATTGTTGAATAGATTTTGACAACGGTGAACATAGAATTATCTTACATGTAAGTAGAACCAGTGATGTCCTTACGACGTACTCCCAAAGGAGTTTGTGAGAATTTTTCTCCATATTTGGCGCGAGATACTCGTTCCAGACGATGTCGATCGCTACGTAGCATTGAATTGGATGAGTGAAAAAAATGGCCAATGATAAAAGGACCTGTACTGACAACGCAAGTCCTTTAGGCTCGTCTACTAAGTTCAAGGTGATGCTACCATAGACACTGCTACCGTAACGGATATATCCAAAAAAGCCGATCATTGTGTACAGAGCTACGATGGTACCCATTCCTACGTTTAGAACACCGAAGGACTTCATGAAGTACTTGGGCTTCTTCATCTCGTTCTCCAGCGGCATAATCTGAAAGAATATCAACGTTTCAACGAATTTTCAAATATCCGAAGTTTCCAATTTATTCACTTCTTCGGTTTTTCAATTTTCCAACTTTTCAAAACGAGGAAGGAGCCTCGAAATTTCGTAGTTTCAAAATGAAAAAAAGAAAATTCCAATCGCGAATACTACTCACCACGCCTATAGCTTCCAGGGCGAACAACACGGTACCGAAATATAGTGGAAAGTTCGCCACGTGACCGATCGGCTCCCGGTTTTCGAAAGACAACGGCTCCCTGAAGATATAGTAGAGAATTATACCGAAACTGGCGAACGTGATGCAATTAGCAATGGTCGAACACGGCGCCAGAAATTTCAGATTTCTGATCCAATTAACAAGAATCAATGGCAATAGCATCGCCAACATGTACAGTCTGACATCGACGTTTGGCATATAGGGATCCAATGCCTATAAATAAGAAAAATAGAGGGGATTCATTAATGAATCAGAGGAAACAGTGTATCGTGAGAAATATGAGCGATTAAAGGATGCGATGAAAATTAGCAAATGATTTCAGAGGATATATCCAATTGAACCTTTCATATCTTCATTTAGCCTTGATTGATTATTTTTCTTATCCGATCTAATTAATTTGCCAATCAATTCACCCCTTTCTTTACATGAATTTCCCTTCCAGTCTAAAATCAAATTTGATCCAAGATTTTTTATCACCCACAATCTCGTAAAAAATAAATCCTTGTTGATTTAAAAATAAAATGAAACTTTCAGTCTGACAATGAGAGCTGTAAAATTGCCCGTTTGACTTCCGGGACGTTCTAAACGAGTTCAATTCTCTTCGGTTCATAAAAAGATGGTCAAACGATTGTTATCGATCCGGAGATCATCGATATCGAAGTAGTTGCGTAGAGAAATTCAAGGACAGCCGGAAATGGAGCCGAGACGGTTCTTAACGCGTACCGATTTACGATGCTTGCGTTCAGCCTTCGGTTTACATAATGAGAAGTTGACGTAACAAGACCGTAAGGATTTTCATTGGAACTGTAAAACTCGTGGCCTATGTATAAATTCAATTTCACCCGGGCCGCCGCGTATGAAAGAGTATCGCGAGCCACTGATCACGATATCCTACGTAAACGTTACGTAAAGCAATTGATTAAACTACGCGTTTTACGTAATAATTACTTTATCGAGATACAATTAACTTTCAATCGCGATACGGTTTCTAAAAGAGCCACAACTCATTGGTGAAACATAGTCGAATGATAATAATCAGGAGAAAGTCCGCGATATTGGATGAATTTATGAAGATTATTTCACGTTTTAGATTTTCCTTAAATGATATCGAGATTAAATGATAAGAGTGAATGTTGAAAATACATAGTATGCACTAAGTAACTAATAATGAGTAGTAGCGAGTAGTACTACGTTCACTTTGATAATCTAATTAATTAACAGAGACGTAGGTTGAGCAATCTTAGTCTTAGCTGTAATGATACAGCAAACTGAGCAAATAATACCGCGTGAAATCTAATAACCAGATAAACCTACGTATGTGGCCAATGTATTTCTATTCCCGAACGTAGCAATACGATCACGTGGTAATTGAATCTCGAACGTAGTGCTACGTTTTACGTATGAATGCAATTAATTCAGTCGGTCTCTTAGCAACATTGTAAATCAGATAACCGTATGATTGATTTCTTCCTACGATTTCATGACTGTCTTTCATCCGTTTATTTAGACTCGATTAAGGAGAAAACGTTCCGATAAAGTTAGTGCCGCGTATACGTTCAGCCGTGAAAAGCATTTTAAAGTGAAACAGAAATTATTACCTATATGCTAACTTGACCACCTTGAGTGGTACCATTTTTGGTCTTTTTCTCTCTGACCATGATAGATTGTACTCGATTTCTGTTCGAATCCAGGATGTACGATTAAGAGGGCAGCACACCTTAATTAAAATTGCAAGGGCACTACTCGCTGGAAGAAACACGAGCGCGCATTCTAGAGACTGACCGACCTCCGCGATCAACTAAACCGATTAATTTAACTGTGCCATTGTTCTCTCAGCACCTTATCGTAAATCCTTTGATCATTAATAATCGCTACAATTAAATCATTTTTTATTCGGACACCCGTTCGATATTTTCCGAACCGACCCGATTAGTCTTTCCGATTTGGAAATATTTGGAATCTTTCCAAATGTGAAATCAATGAAAATGTTGAAATATAATGTAATTATCACAATGTATCGCGTTGAATGTGTTCTGTGTTTACGAATTGACGAATTATGATGCCTGTAGATATGAACGGGACTTAATTCGCTATTTCACGCTAGGAGAATTCAGGTTTTCGCGAACGGTGCAACTGGCTGCATCCACATTCTACACGCTCGTCGTAATAACACGTGTCGTAACTACCCGCTAACTATCTATTACATTGCGTAGTAACGCGTTCCATGGCTTGGCTAAACCAATACGCTCCTTTTCTTTCACCGTTTCAGAAAACGAGCCGGCCAATGGAATTTTACATGGTAAATTAGCCAGCGGTATTACTACCTTAAACCAATCAATTATGGAACATTCATCGATTGCGCAGATTCGGTGTTGAGGCGTAATTAAAGGTTTCTTGTAAATTATCGAAACTGGATCTATTAATTATAAGAAATTATGATTTCTTACGATGCCCCCGTTTCCCTTTCCTTACGTTTACATTGTAAAATGAAATCTGAGAGTAAGCAAGTTTCGAAAGTAAGAATTTTGTATTTGAAATGAATAAATCTTTTGAAATTCATAAGTTCTCAATTCTTAGTGGATCGTCATTAAAAAAATACTAAGACACGCGTAATTCTAATTCAACACGAGTCTTACGAACGAGGCTAACGAACTTCGACGGGTTAACTAAACGAGTGATTTGAATTTTCATTTCATTGTCGAGCGTGAGGGGAATTCGTTTGTTCGTTGCAGCTGGAAATTCATGCGAAATGGGATTGAGTCGAACAAGCGACCTTTTTCCTTGATTTATGACAGGTCAGACAAGTTCTTCCGATCCACGTATCTGAGGATCTTTATGCGATCCTCGAGCTATGAATTCTTAAGCGTTTGCAAAAGGAAAAAAATTTCAATGATCCTCTGTTCTATTCTTTTTTCTCGTTTAAGTCCTCTAATGCATTCCACAGGTTTGCGAAAGGAAAATCGCTACAAGAGGTAATGAAAAATTCTGCATTATTTAATTTGCCAAATTTTTAAGCTCTAAAGTTTCTAATTTGCCTAATTTCTAAGCTTGCACGGTTCCTAATAATTAACCAATTTCTATTTCTTTTATCGCCTAAAATCTGCTATTACCAGACATTTGATCCCAACTACGGTGAAATAAAGATTATTAACATTTCTCTCTGTTTGTAATTATCAAGATCAACGGGTCACGTGCTCGTCGTAAACCCTGTCCATAATCGCATGGAAATATGCCACGAAACTGAAACTGAACTTCAAGGAAGTGCTTAGTTTAACAAGTGCTCACGGTCAACGTTATTCATCATCGAGAGTTTCCTGCCGATGACGACAACAATTGTCCTCGCGAACGTAAGAAAAAGATGAAAGTCCTTAACTCTTCCGAGTGTCAACGAACCTGGCCCCGTGTAACGCCTTGATTATCACCTTGACTCGGGCATGCCGTAATTTACAATCTCTAAAAGCCGTCTGTCTAATCGTTTATTCCTTGCGCTGTGTTTCCCTGACCTACATACTCCTTTTTCTTTCTGCCCACACTGGTCTAGCAACGGTGGGATTTCTTTGCGGTAAAAGCTGGACCAACGACGGAGTAACAAGAGCAGCGAAATCTCTGAGTCATTTCGTTCGATTCGAATAAAAAGAAAAACTACATAAAAGGCGCAGAAAACTTACAGCATTAATATTTCTTTCCTCGAACTGTTATCTAAACTAGAAATAAGAAATTTTTTTTCTGTAAAGATAATTTTAAGCTAAGGGGCTTAAGAGGCCTAATGGGATTAAACTTGGAGATATTAGAAAAAAAAGATAAAAAATGTGATAAAATATATTATAATCAAATTAAAAATATTATCAACTCGATTAGATTGCTAGATTAAAATTCAAGACCGGATCGCTAACTAGTTGAACGACTGCTTTAACTTGGTAATTGGGTCATGTTTCATTCAAAATCTTAGTTTGCAGTTTATAGAATGATTAATCTACAGATGGAGTACTTTTATATGCTTTATCATGCTTCTTTTCATAATGAAAAGAAGTAGATGATTTGAGAAATTAGAAAATGTATCTGAAACGGTGATCAATGAAATGTAGGTGATCAGCCAATGAATTGGAAAGCGATTAATTAACTGTGTAATTGTACTAACCTTATGTAAATTCTTGCCAATGAATACCGTATAGACGCAGCAAGTTCCCAACTGATACACCATAAGGAATATGTTTATCACATGACTATAAAACAAAGCATGCATTCTCTGTTAAAATTCGTACAAAAGTTATTTCAAAGAAAATTGAACATACGCAAATTGTTTCAAGAATAGGGACATCAGTAAATTACCGAAGCAATAATTTGCGATAACTTGGTGGAAATAGATAACCCGGTTCGTAGTTTTTAACTTACTCGTCTAATATTTCCATTCTCTTTAACTAGCTTATTTAAAAACTTACATTGATGTTTTAGCAAATCGCCTAAAGGGTGCTGGACCCACTAGGAGTGCAGCTTCTGCGGTGGCAGGGTAAGTTAGAGAAGGTACCTTCTTCCTTTTACACAATTCATATTCCGAACTGACCAGTATTCTTATACAATAAGTACAAAGTAGACCAATGACTATAGTGGACACTATACCAACTGCATATCCTGAATGATGAAAAGCATTGGGCATAGCGAGAATACCTGTTCCTAAACTTCCTTTCAATAAATGGATAAACGTTTCCATGTTCCTGAAATCATAAACGGGGTTACAGATTAGCGAGAAAGAAGGCATTTATATAGCAATTTTTAGTGAAATTTAAGCTTCGAATTTTTATGTCATGAAAATTTATTCAAAATAAAAGATTGTTCATTTTCAATCGCGACGATATTTCACCGAGGTGTTTTAATGGACAATTCGTAGCGGTTTCTTCAGGGAGGCAACCTTATCCTTCCGCTTCGCGATTAATCACCGCAACAAATTACCCGGTAATTTGTATCCAGAGAAACGCGGTCGGAATAAACGAAACGTCGTTTCGCATGCGTGCTGCGTTCATCATTATGCAAATGTTCCTGATTGCGTTAAGCGATCGAACGTATGGACTTACATTTTCATTCTACCGTGTTCTTTACTCCCTTTTCCGCTATTCGAACGATCGAACCGTTGCATAAAGAGCAAAGTGTAACAATTGTAAGAAAAGCTTCGAGTTCAAATTGAGTAGAAAATATGAAATTTCGAAATTTCTACTAATCGAAACAGTCAATTATACTAACGTTGTTGGATGTTCCACGTCTCTGTGTTCGTAAGGATTGTAATCCTCCAGGCACTCCTGCACGCTCTTCTTCTTCTCCTCCATCTCCAGGACATAGACGTTCCCCTTCTTCTGTCCTGAATCATAACTGTTCCAAAATTCATTATAATTACCAAAATCACTAATATATTATTAATTGTTAATAGATTTTCAATATTGTACCTAGTTCGATTATTCGTCGACGAATCGACCCATTTCTTGGTATCCAGAGCATCCTGCAAAAAAAAAGAAAATTTCCATCAGTAAAATTATTTTAATTCACACAATTCTAAACGAGTTGTTTTTTTCAAACGATTAAATGCGTCGAATAAATATCCTGGTCAGCCAGGATAATTATGTTCCTCGACAAGAATCAACAAACTATGCCATCCGGTATATTAGATTCGTAATTAAAAAACAAATTCTTTCTGTCGGTCATAATTCACGGCCGACGATGATGCGCACTCGAACAAGACGAATAACAAAGGTACTTTACGTGACGATATAATAACGAAAGAAAAAAACAATTTGAATATCAAGAGAAGGGATCAAAGTCTGCATAACTTTTCGTTTAGTCCTATCATTGTTTGCTGAAATGATGGAATGCGACGAAAAAAACAGGCTACTCAAATTGCTTGTACTCGCATACCGAAGACGCTAATTACCACGGGTGAGCGAATCTTGTTTTCTTGAATGATTATTAGATCAATCAATTATCACGAATAAAGGAGTGCAGAAAACTGTAGTTTGAAAGAACCATGTGGAATAACAGGATGTTTTTTGAAAATGTTAACATGAATTCTTCGAAGCCTCGAAGAACAGCTCAAAAGAATCACGGTATTAAATGATTCAAGGATAGAAATCACGTATCAGAGTGCAACTGTTTTACTCGATATTTATATCTAGATTGGATAGGAAAATCCCTGACGAATCAATGATTGTTAAGCGATATTGAAGATCAATTGAAAATTTTACTATTACTCGTCGCGAATGTCATCGCAAGTTAAACCGTACAACTGAAATAAAATTTTATTTCACGAGATAACGAGTACCTGATCCTCTCGTATGAATAAATCATTCCATTAATCACGAATAACATTGATAATTGTAAAATATCGGCAACTCTGTTATTGCTGATCTGAGAAACGCAAATATTCTCGGGCTCGCAGCTGCTCGTCAGAATGTGTTTCTAATGGGATTTTCCGTTTACAACGATCGATTGATGGGTTCCTCGTGAAACGATCGGCAGATTTTACATTGCTTGCTTTTTTATCGCGACGATCGTGTACAGACAGATGTTCGTTGATTATGTTTCACCTCGGCTTAGTTTATTGTACCGCAATCGGTATTGACACCAACAAACGTGTGTCGATGCTTTTGGTATGCGAATCTTGAATCTTACTTTACTAATTTGTTTTTTTCTTAATTAGCACTGTAGAAATAATCATAATTAATTTTTTTATATATATATGAAAAAAAGAGTAGATACGCCTTTAGAGAGCTCTTCTTATTTTTGAATATGGAATACTTCATGAATTGTTGATTATTTCAAAAATTGGATGAGAATCAGTAGTGAATTTATATTGGATGTTCCGGAGGCAGATAAAAGATACTGTTGTATCACTGAAGATCAGCTTCCACGTGTCTGATCAACGTTGTCTGTATCTACTGATGCGCTAACAGACGCATCGTCTGATGTTTTTATTAAATTTCAAGATTCTTAAATTTCGTTACATAATGAATAATTAAAGATGTTCCTTATTAAACTATAAATTTCGAAATTGCTCGCAATCGTTTATCCGAGTTTCAAAATAATGTGCAATCGAGCAATAAATTTCGAAATCAACAGCAATCAATCTACAACTTTCAGCTAGGATATTTCGACAATATTAAATGATAAATTCGAAAAATGTCCTCGTCAAGTGTCGAGAACCTATCCAAGGCAAACTGCACCTTTCAACTTGAGTAATTCCCCTGTATTTGCGCCTTTTATTAAAATCTAATTGAAACACAGTTTCCTACAACCATTGTAAACAAGAAGCTGAATTCGATTAGCATTAATTAATCATTGCTGGTATTCCTCAATGACGATCAATTCATTCGCAATATTATCGAGGAATTCGAAACGGATATTGCTACGAGATGGAACTTAATCACGTAATAAGAAATCATCGAATTCTAGGAAGATGTGCATTTTTTTTTTATGAACAATACATGGTCTACGCCATCGTCTAAGACGTAATAGAATTCACGTTACGCGTCGGTAATTAACAATTCCCAATGACGTTCTAAACGTCATTGAGAACTGTTAACCACAACTACATGTTATGAATTAATTAACTATGATTCACATGTTGATAGTAATTATTCTATCGATAATTCCTCGACCCAGTATCATCATTCCTCTTTTTCTAACACGTTAATCACAGTTTGATGACTTAAAAGTATAACAAAATGGTACTTATGGTAGATCGAATTAAAGCACGAAGTTTCCTGAAAATATCGAGGTAAAATTTTTCTAAATATCCTTAATACAAAATCGCTGATGAGTAATTAAAGTAAGCAACGACCGATTTTCAAAACGTAAAAAGTGCTCTTCATAATTTCACAATTTGATGACATAAAAGTTACTCGAATCACAGCTTATGGCATATCAATTTAAAGCTACAAGTATGATCAAAATGATTAATAAAAGCCTTTGAAGCATTTATTTTATAATACCCGGATAAATAAATTTTTGAATCTTCCTAGCATCAATGTTGAAACAGGTATAATCACCAGTGTCTATCATCGATCGTTTCAGCTAATTTTTATTCATCCTGCGTAAACGATTATCTTGTCAAGTAGCCACTTTTCAATTCGACTTATCTTATTCTTTATTCTGCAATAGAGGAAATCCCCACTCAACTGGTTGATTCCCGATACAACGAAGAGCTACCTGTTGTTGACAAGATTGAACGGAACTGTGAATTGACGTTATCAAAAGATTAGGGAAGCATCTAATTTATTGTACTCTTTTCACGTTTTCCTAATGCTACTAGATAACCATCGTTTTATCAGTTTAGTATTGTTTAAACATCTATCGCGTGCAATTTTAGGTAATACCGTGATTAACAATGAAGCTTTCAATCTCGGCCTAATTTCTGTTTACGATTTTGTATTTCTGGATATGATAATCTGCTGTGACAATTGAGACAATTAATCATGATTATACTAAAGAGGATACTCGACAGAATTTGATTAATTATATGAAATGATTGAGTGATTCAAAGTTAACTAGCAAAAAAATAAGATCATCAGTGGAATTAGAATAATTAAAAAAAGAAACAATAGAAAAATAATAGATTTGAAAATTATTTCTATTCTCAATAATCAGATATTTTTCCAAGAAAAGAAAGGGATTATCAACAAAGAAATTCCTCTTAATCCTACCAGCTTGCTAATAGAAAAATCCCATCGTTTCCAAGTAATCTCCAATTTAATCTCCCTCAAAGGCTCGACCTCCTTTTGCAAATTATCAATCGTTTCCACGAGTCGGACACCGTGTAACACGTTCAGAGCACGTAGCTCTGAGATGACATTTTAAAAATGACACGTTACGCCAGTTTTCAGGAGATTAGCGCGAAACACGAGAGGAGGACATCCCAGCAATTTAACGTGTAATCGCTGAGCTGACACAAGTTGACCGGAAGTCGCATCTCGCGCGATGAACCACGTTCCTACATAATAAAGAAACACGAGCCTCTACATTTTTCTTTATTCAAAGAAAAACCGCTGCGAATGAATTTTTCTGAAACATCCAAGCGTCTCTTATCGATCGCTGAATCACATCATCAATTCCCCTTTATGTAATCTCAATGACATTTCGATGGATCATGAACGTGAAACGACGGTTTATTATTTATCCATTCCTATCTTGCATTAATAGGAATTAATTGTTCGGATACGAATAATCGTTGGCATGTGATGGATCGATAAATAATAAGCGAAAAGTTTCCATAAGAACAGGTTTTGAAACGTTTTAAATCCATGTGACAATAGACGGATTGGAAAATGATAGAAAAGAAATGCTTAACAGGGAATATTTTAAAGTTCGAATACGGCTGCGTTTGCAACTTAAAAAAAAAGGAGAGACAAAATTATTTTGTTGACTTAAGGTGGCGCGTTAAATTACGTTTGTTTAAAAACACTGACCCATTGGGACATCCAGCGTAGAAAGTTATTTCATGGGTTGTTGATGGACGGATTACATTGTTACACCTCGAGGAATACTTAATGAATACCTGTGCCCGTTCCTCTGCAATTTTCACGCGGATCTATGCATTGCCGAGGGTTTATGAATATTCCATTACTATCAGAGGGAATCGCGTGCGAGTCAAGGATGAACGTTGAAAATTGTCAGTGTTGTAATTTTCGCGATTGCCTTATCTGATAGTTGTAACTGTACGGTAATTTATTCGCGTTTAGTGTATACGCAAACTTATATGTCTGTTGAATATTTTTAAAGGGAAAATGAGTATGGTACTTAGGACTCTAATTTAGTATTTAGTATGGTACTTGATGTAGTATTTAGAAAGGTAGCTAGCATAGTATTAGGTACGCTAATTAGTATAGTACCGAGCATGGTAGGCTGGTAATTAGTGTGCTACTTGGTACTGTGATTACTCCACCGAGTATTCCTAGTACTTAGCGCCACCTAATAGATACCTAAACACAGCATCAAACTCATATGATCCACTACCTACTACATTATTACGTTATTTAGTATGCTACCTACTCACCGTGTCTAATACGCTACTTAATGCGCTTCGTGGTACTCTACTTACTCATGATACCCGATACGCAACCTAATATCCTACTTAATTCAAGAATATGCTACCTGTTAATTAATTAATTTGTCGAACAATGCAAACAGTGTTTTCGTTATTATATAATAGCTAATCGATATAGTTAAATAGTGAATTTTCACGAAATAGGTAAAGATGATAAGAGAATTGTAATATCAGTAAGCACACGTGGGTGGCTAGATCGATCTCATAAATTTCGTGTCCGTTATCAGAGAAAGAGCGAGATAGAAATAGAAAAGAATTTATTTCCACGAAACTAGCTGATTTATCAGAATCCAGTGGAATGTAAGGACACTTTCAAACGAGACAACGATTACAATCTCTGTTTGCGCGATCAATTATCAATGGAATATTTCAATGTTCAATGATCTCAATACTGCTATCGTGTTATGAAATGAATTATCATCTATAGATATTGATGACAAATAACGATTATCGAGCAAACACTATAATTTACTGAACAATATATCGAAAACAAGGATTAAGAAGGAAAATAGTACCTTTCTGATACCTGTGTACATAGAAATCATTTAATGCAATCATAGGTGTTATTATAATTAATTTATGAAACTAGATTTAATTAGCGTTATCTGTATCTTGAATCATGACGAAAAAATTCCTTCTAGATATAGATCAGCAAATATTTTATATCCAAAATGGGACGACATTAAAAGATCAGCATAAATGTAAGGTGTGATGATAAGAAATAAAGGTTCATATTTTATAGTTTTTGTGGAAGATTGATAAAGTTACACCATAGGAATAACTCAGCAAAATTTTTGTTGATTTTAAATCTTAGGTGAAGTATCAAATAGGAAACTTAAATTGAAAAATGGATGATCTGAAATTAAATTACAAATAGTTTCAAACGATGTGCTGCTTATAAAGTCATATTTCTAAACGGCTGTTTAAAGGCAAGTGTATATCCTTGTGGTAGTGTATTGTATCGTCGAATGTTTATAATTTTTTCTACTCTTACACGAGTCGATATTTATTTACATACAGGTGATTTGACTCGTTAAATAGGACATTAGAAACAACCGAAGGAAAATATCAGTTATCGATAACATTTAGAATTAATTTGACAAGCTGAAGAGATGTAAGTGTACTTGAATAATAATTTCTGAGATAAAGGTACACTAAAAGAATTTCACGATCAGAGTGATCTGTTCATTATCAGAAAATATTAATCTACGAAAACAAGATGATACGCAGGGTACGAACAGACTGAGCAATCGGTATAACAAACATTTGATATCGTGGCTAGCATTGTTATTGAGGGCAATAATTTTTTATGAGATACCATGTCGATGCCAAGGTGTATTCAACGAGAACAGAATCCATTTTTCCTTATTCCTGATGTAAAGTGTCGAACCGTCTCAAGGAAAACAACGTCACCCATCGTTTATACATTGGATATCGAAGTGTAATTAAAACTCTCATTTCCCAGAACAATGCAATCCTCACTTGAAATCTTTCATTCTAGAATTTTCTTATTTTTGAATCTTCGAACGTTCGACTTGGAAATCTTTAATTTGGAAATTTGAAAATTTGAAACTTATCGAATCTGTTCAATTTCGATATATCGCTAGCGCAAAGTTTTGATATTTCGAAATCATTACCGGTCGAACTTTCAAATTTCCAATAATTCTAACTGCTTTCGTTTACACTCATCTTTCGTACCACAATAGTGGTACTTAATCTCCAAACATCAACATAAATAATATAACAATTCCTATTCATGTTTCAAAAGGTGTAATAATGTAACAACCTCTGCTTTGAACGACATTAGTGGATCTATTTACAATGCTTATAAATTATTATCCGATCTACTATGACTAACAACAATTGGTATGAAATAAACTAAACTGAACTGGTGAAAGTAACCCATATAATAAAGGTTACAACAGTAAGTACCAATTGTCACTGTGAATTGCGTCCAATCTATAGTGAAACTAAACAGAAATTGCTTCATTTCTCCTGCTCACCAATTTAAAGTCTAACTAATTACTACAAAAGAAAAAAAAACTGGTACCTAGCAAAAAAAGGAACGGTACGAGAGTTGCACGGTGTAGTATAATCGCAACAGGGACGCACAGTTTCCCTGATCGTTCCATAGAAAGGGAACATTACTTTTTATCGAATTTCACGTTCTAATGACATAAATAGATATCTATCAGATAATTTATACGATATGATATATGAAAAAAAAGAATTTGCCTTGATTTCAATCACGAATCTGCCGGCGATTCGACCAGATGAATTTGTTCATTCAGTCCCGAATTTTCCCTTTTCTATGATATTTATCACTCGACGTATTCATTTCCCGCGAAAATTCACAGGAAAACCACAAGTATAACCAAAAAACGCGCCATAAGCTACTGTGACGTCACATCGATCCAATCGATATTTCGATACAGATCGAGATTGAAGAGTTTTCTCGTTTGAACTACGCGAGAATCGGTTTGAAAAATAATTTTCAAATACTTTTTCTTTTGTAAATAATATGAAAATTAACGGGCGTCTGTTAATGAAATATGAAAGAGATAAATTATCACCGATTGAACGTTTACTTTTTTAAACAGCCGTTTATACGGAAAAGTATTAACAATATTTACATTTCAAAAATCCTATTTTCACACGTGCAAAACAATTCGATACATTTCCTTGCGAGATGTCGATAAAACAAGCGGTAAATATTTGAAAGTTTACCTTACTTCCTTGCGGATATGTTTTCGAATTAACAGTTGAACGCAATTTTAAAAGCCAACGGCTTAAAACTCTTGGCCAATCGAACAAGTATAATCAGTTAAATGAGTTGTTATCGATAAGGGTTAAAAATTCGCATAATTAACCAGTCCAATCCTTGACAAACACCTTGTTACATATTTATATACAAATTAGAACATAATAAAAATTATATCATAATAAAATAGAATCTAACTCACCGTGCTCGAGGTAAATCCTAAATTATCGTGCGACATCCTGACGGATCACTTCTGTACACAAAAATTCACCTGGAAGTGGCGTCGAATGAATATAAAATGGGGAAATATTGAAATAAAAGAAATGATAGTCACGATGCAATCACGAAGCAAGGTTAAGGTAAATTGAGAACGGTAAGTAGCGAAAGATGCGAAAAAGGACAACCGGTTTCAAGTTTGTTATGGTACTCAAGGCATTATATTGTGTTGCGACAGGTACGACCGCCGCAACTCGACTGATCAGGGTTCGCGCCAAGTATTATTTATATAGCTTCATAGCACGCACACGACACACCGTATACTCTTGCCATTTCGTTTGCTGGTCACTCACGGCATGATTCGGACGCGACAATGCGGCTCGACTACCTTACAAACTATTCCATGTTGGAATCTAAGTGAGACGAGCCGGTTTACCTTACAAGCACTTTACCTTTCGCAATTTTTAATGTTTTTTTTTTTTCTTTTTTTTCAAATGTCTTAGGATACTTGATTCATTCCCGCCAATTTTACCTTCTCCTTTCATTACAAACTTTGCGCGCAACTACTGCTAGCTTATTTATCGACGAACCTACTTACTTTGATCTTACTTTTCTGCTGTAGTTTTACATTTTGAAAATTTGAAAATTAATAATTCTTTCGAATCTCGAAGTCTGAAACGGCGAAATTGGAAACAAGCGGTGATTCTTAAATGTTCGAAATTAAAAATTCTTTCGGATCTCAAAATCTGAAATGTTCAAACATTTATAAATAACAAATAATGAAGGTGCATTTATAAGATATCACCAAATAAAATTATTAAATAATTAATTTGTAAATGAAGAGGATCGTTGACGTAGATTGTTTAATAAGAATAACTTTATCACGCGATAAAGATGATAAGTATCTTTTGAAGTCGTTTTAAAGTACCTATGAATATGTAGACAAAACCACTTGAGAATTTAGGAAAAGTACAGATTTTATACATGTACCAGGATTCACCACTGCAATGACAAATAATTGTGGACTATAATAATTAATAAAATGCAAAATAGTAAAAGAAGAAGGTAGAAGTTGCTAGATCCGGATATTCGTTTCCTTTAAATTGATCGCCAAGGTTCTAGCAAAATTCATGCGGCATATTTTTCTCCTCAATTTTCTATGAAATTATTCTTTTAATACGAGCCCATTTCTTAAGAATCACATTTTGAAAATAAATGAGAAAAATGTGAAGGATTTGCTCTTTGCAATTCGAATTTGCAATATAAGATTGTTCGCCCATCTTTCTGATAATTTGAAGCAACTGAAAAAGCAAAATTTGCGTCCAAAATTATCACGATAAAGGTATTTTTTTTTTTCTTACTTTTTATCTTTTGCATTGGCATTGCATTGTATATTTGAAAAATAAAAAGTCCAAATTCTTAAAATATTACAATACCGCGTGCGGTTCTCTGTCTTATTTTCTTACCTTCATTCATTTTCGTCCTTTCAGTGTCCTATTCTGCATGTTTATCCTCTACCTTTCAATCCGACGTCATATTTCACCTCCCGCTCGATTCCTCGAATTTATTTGCATATTTGTAATAAACATACGTTTTACGTGATTACAATTACTTTCTAAGGTATAACAATTTTCCTGCTTCCTTCATTACTTTTTCCCTATCTTCAATTTTATTCACATCCTGCTACACTTCATTTTGATTTTAAAAGCTATAGTTTTTTCTTGTTAAAGACCTATTTACCTCTTATTTAGTACTAGCAAAAGAATTCTTATGTTTGAAATATTTATTGGAGCCACATTGCTATGTTTAAAAAACATTTACTTCTACCATATTCATACTCAAGACTTTAACTTATTTGCGCTCTAAATTATTACTGTTCTATAATTAAACTGCATTTTCGGTTCCACAGTTCGTATTCCTACCCAAAATACTAGAATAATTTCATTTTTAGAATCATACAGACTATAATGACGCTAACAGGTAATGAGTGCAATAAACTAAAAATATTGTGCAATTGTTATTTTTGCCCGCTATTTATAGCAAACAAATTTGTATTTTAAAGAAACCGCCATAAATTCAACATTTTTAAAGTTTGATGCCGGCGTTATCTATACAAAAACAGTGGAAACTACTCGACAAGTTATCGACAACACCGACGAGTTACTGTACCTCGTCAGTGTCGAGGCTGAACTCCGAATTCCGCATCGATAAAACAGGCCAGGTTTGATCGAAAATTAAGCTGAACAGAAACTGATTTAAGCGCCACCTGAATTATTGCATCCAACTAAAGGCATGTTATACTACGTTACCTTTCGCAAATACCTAAATGACACATGTATGCTATATGCATAAGTACATAATTAAACAATACTGACCATGCATTCATTAATATTAATTTTCTTTCCGTAAAATTGTATTTCCAATGTGGTACACTTCAGAACCTCAAAGGCATAGTTCCTGAAAAAAATATAACAGAGATTAAATAGAAAAAAAACCATAAAATCCGCAGCCAATTCGCTCGTATTATTTGCTGCATAATTAATAAGTGTACCATTGAAATAATGATGCAATTATTAATAATCCATCAAATAATAACGATTTCCCAGGTCTCACCACGGGGAGGTTGCTGCGGGTGGAGACCCGCCCTACCTCATCCCATCCACCCTCCATTTATGCAAATTTTTATTTTTATTCAATACCATCATCCTCTTGATGAACATTTGCAAAACGTTTTTGACTGTTGTGCAAACGAACAACAAAAGGAGCATTATTTTTATTCACTACCTACCTATCTACTTATCTATACATATATTTACGTAGATTTTTGCTTTTTATTCCTATCGCAACATTTTTTAATTTTGATTTTGATTACAGATCTGTAATTAATAAATATGCAATTGCATATTTGTCCTACATACTTATATTACTAAGAATGGCTACTTAAACGAGCGCTCGTAATTATATTAACACTAAACGTACCGAGATTTAATATATGTATACCTATTTGTACCACAACAAATAAAAATATAAATAAATGAAGTAAAATTAATTGTATATATTTAATAGAAAAAGTCATGAAGACAAATGTGAAAAAGCGATAACATTTTATGCGAATTTTCTAATCAAAAGTTTATAACCGGTCATGATACGTTTAGTGTTAAAAATTCACTTAAATCTAACGCTTCCTAATTAAACACTGCAGTGTTTGACGATTATATCTTAATCACCATAAAGTCATTATAACGTCGTATATAGTCTATATAAAAATTTAAAGGGATATACATAAATAAGTACAATGAATTTGTTGATTTTGTTGTCCTCGCCAGAATACTTCTTCAAACAAACTGAAAAGGATTAAACATAATTTAAGATAATAATGAGGCTGATGTAGCCTTAATCATAAATTTACAACCTGCCTGAAATAAACAGAAAAGGATTAAATACAATTTTCGAAAATAATACGGTTCAGATATTACCACTCATAAGAATCACTTTCCCTTTTCAATCATCTTCACCTTGTTTTACTTAATTGAATAGATTGAATTCCATTTATAGATGCTAGATTTTATATTACATTTCTTCCATTCTATTATCCGATATTATTAATTCACACTTCCTATAAAGATATTTCTCTGCAACAGAAACTCATTAATCGAATTCATACAAAGAGAAAAAAATGTAATACCTGAAAAGAAGATACATTAGTAACAATAAAATTTCACAAAAATCAAAGTAATGGTTAACGAGTCATTTCCAAATAAGAAAACATCAATTAGACACAAAATATGCATTAAAAATGAATTTCAGTACCAAAATAAAAGCAGACAAAGATTTATAAAAAAAATTGTTATTAAGTAAGTGATTTCAGTTAGAAACATTAATTATTTCATTTTATTGCATAATATTTAACATTAGTTCATTTAGTAACCAATAATATATAAAATTTTAATTGAAACAACTGTCTTTTACTGCAATATACGTAAGTACAACCATGATTCTACTTGACTTTATTGCATTATATTATTCAATACACTTTTCAATGCAAATTTATTGTAAATGGAAAAACTGAAGAGAAAATCACGAGTGGACTTTGCTTTTCAGGAAAAGAATTTGAAAATTTATAAAAATAATTTAATTAGCTTCTCCGTAAGCTTGAAACGAAACATCGCGACCAAAAATCAAAACTAAACAACTTCAACAACAACCATCCACTTTTGTTTAAATAAAGCAGAATTAAAATCTAATAAGCTATTTCAAATGAACAAATATTCCTTGAAATAATTGATCACCAATCACAAAATAAAATGAATTTCTATTTTAAATAAAACTTTGAATAAACTTTTATTTAAAACTTTATCGTATTTAGTAATATTCTGAAAACAATAAATTCATATATTATTTAACAGTATTTCCGACAACCGAATGCTCAAAATTTTCAAAATTAAAGAAAGGGAAGAAAAAAAATGGGGGCGGGGGAGTGGGAGGGAGGGTACAGGGGAACCTGAAAAGAAAAGTTTGACTGCCCACAAGAGCAATCCCTAAGCAAACCCTAAAAACAAACCGAAATCACACGCAACACTAATTTTAAAATTGCAAACATTCTGAACTATGACAAAACATCGGCTGGCAACGAGGGGTCTCACGCCCCCTAGACTTACGCCAGACGCTACATACCACCCACCCCGCCTGGACGTCGTAACGCCAGGACAGAGTGCACCCCTTCGCTAAGAGCGCTACCCGCCCGTCCAACACGTTGCATCCAACGGTGTCAGATTGACGGACGCCCATAGTATAGACAAAAGGACTGCAGTTTAGAATATGGTAACATATTTTCATATGATCCGTATTCTAAAACTGCGCCTGCAAAGGCCTAGTAATGCATGGGTATATCTCCCAGAGATGGTGTTCACGGTCTTAGGCCGCGGAATCCTTGACTAGCAATGGATTCCCACCGAATGTGAGTCATAGTTACTTCCACTAATTTAATAACAATCGCGAATTCAGTCGCAACACTAATTTCATTAATTATATAATATGTACAAAAGCGTACGCGTGAAGGCTGCTCCATTATACGCAACACTAAGCTGAAAAAAAGAAAAAAAGAGAAAACGCGAACTGCAACGCAACACTACTCAAATCTACCGAATTTTGTAAGACGCAACACTAATCTAAAAAAGGGGTACAGCCAATCCAAGGCTGTACCACGGCAGCTGGTCCATAGCTGCCTTATGGACCATGGCAACTCCACTGGATCGTTTTGGGGCATGTCTAATGCAAAACGCGAATATTCATTACCGCAACACTAATTAGCAGGGAACTTTATAAACTAATGTAAAGCAATCGCGTATTTATAAGTCGCAACACTGGGAAACAATCGCGCTAATGTCATTCGCAACACTATCTTTAACAGACATGCAATTAAAATGCTGAAAAGGGAATTCTCAAACCGTGAATTTTTTATTCGCAACACTAATTTCATTAATTATATATATGTACAAAAGCATACGCGTGAAGGCTGCTCCATTATACGCAACACTAAGCTGAAAAAAAGAAAAAAAGAGAAAACGCGAACTGTAACGCAACACTACTCAAATCTACCGAATTTTGTAAGACGCAACACTAATCTAAAAAAGGGGTACAGCCAATCCAAGGCTGTATCACAACAGCTGGTCCATAGCTG